GTTGATTCCACTCAAAACAACAATATTATTGTTTCTCACAATAACTTCTGGGACAATTTATCGTCTAGCAAAATTTGGAATCGTGACATGCCTAGCGATGCAATAATCTGATATCAATATCTGTATCAGTTCCGATATAAAAAAAAACCTAGATTGGGTATTGGTGGCAATGTATCAAATCCACTTGTGCAGATCTATTCAGTTTAAATCTATGCTTTGTACTCTGAGCAAAATAATAAATAATAAATATTATTTGTTTAAGTACAATATTACGAAATTTGTTTGTTGCAGTTTAATTTGTACATGTTTGACCAAGTGGGAGTAAACCTATTGTTCTTTCATCTGTTTCCATTTCTGTATTATTTATTTTACAGTGGTTCTTCTACTCCTGAGTCCAGTGACTGAATAAATTAAAGTTGCTTTTACGTGTTCGGCCAAACTTGTGAAGTTATTGGTGCATTTAAGTGTGCTATACTGGTGCAGAGTTATCAAATAAATTTGAAATTCAATAAATTTATGTCTGAGTTTTAATTTTTTTTTTTTTATAAATTCAGCACAGTGTTTCCTTATCGGAACGGTATCAACCGATGCTAAACCTCAGATATTTGTATTGGAAGTGAAAAAAAGTGGATTGGTGTATCTCTGGACTTCCTCTGTGGTTCAGTCTGAATTGAAGAAGCTATTTTGTCTTTTGAAATGTCTTCAAGAGATAAAAGAGAAGACAACCAGCTGCATTTGACCGAGCCATCTTGGATGTTTCTTTAGCTGAACATTTTGAACTCAAAGCTTTGGGATTTATTTCCCGTTAACTAGAAGCAGTCGGACTAACCGGTTATCTCGAGCTCGTTCCAGTGAGACTTCTTCCCATTGGCCGCCTCCTCAGCTGACATGATGGTGTAACATCTGCGGGGATCTGGAGGATCATATTTTTCCTTTGGCATACCTGTTAATCTGAAACAAAAACAAAGCAAACAGAAACACTGAGTCCAGCTTTTAATTCAGGGAGAAAAACTTTAAACTTAAGGAGCGAAAAAAGAAGTTTTGTAAACAGATTTCAAGAAAAGAAGAAGTTGGAAGAAAAAAAGCTGCTGGTTCTTTATTAAGACAATGTTTTTTTCCGGGGTGACGCATGATACCGCTTCAACTGAATCATACATCGTAAGGCTGGAGATGTAATTTTAAACAGCTGCTTTCCAGGACGGCCTGAACATTTCTGCCTGCACGAATGTCTGTTTTCTCATCCCAACCTTTTCTTTTATCGAGTTTCTTTTACAGATACATCAAAACCCTGTCAATCACCACCAAAGAACTGTGTGTAATAGCTATAATTCATAATTTTATGAGTAAAGACACAAAAAGTTTTATACATACTTCAGGAAACTTGTTTGTTTTTCTGAGTATTGGTAAAATAGGGATGAACTATTTTTGTGAAATCAATAAAATAACGATAAAAGTGAATTTTCTTCAGGATACATTGAAATGTATTTAGATTTAATGAAGCTCTCGTGGAAACAGCAGTGGAGAAAATAATAAAACCAACAGTCCTGCAAATACTTTCAGTTACTGGGATTCTCAGAGATCATTTGCTGTAATTCAACTTTAAGTCAATAAATCATAATTTCTTATCACAGCAAGAATTTTGTAAAGATAACTAAACGATACGGTAAATGTTAAATTTGCATTTTGGGAAAAATTACTTCTAGGATTAGTTTTAATACAACATACATTTACTTTTACTTGTGTAATACTTTTAATGTCAATAAACAAAGAAGAAATGTGTTTTAACCAAAAATGGTCCAGAAATAAACACAGTTTATATCAAAGTGAGACCTCCTGTTCATACACCTGCTTTGTTTTTCTGATGTTTTCTCTGTTGAACCTGTTGAGCCATTTATAGAGATCAAGAAAATAAAGTAAGTGCTATTTATTGTCGCTTCACCCTCTACTAGCATTTTTATATATACATCACCAGCAGGAAGTTTGAATTTGGAAAGTTTTATATTTGAAAAAAGTAATTTGTAAAAGTGTTTTTTCTGCCTGAATTTATGATTTCTTACTTTTTTCTTTCAGTCTTTAAATACCAGAATTTGTACATAGTTTTTCTCTATCTGATTAAATCATTTTTAAGATATTAAATCAAGTATTCCAGTACTTTTCATATTTACTTGAGTAATTTGAGTAGGATCTAATAAGTTTGTCTTCTCCCCACTCCTTTTCTAACTGGATATAAACGTTTGGTTATGTATTTGATATATTTTTTGTTTTCTTTGTAATTATTTTATTTTTTCTCTGACCTTTACTTGTTTGAAATAAATAAGGATTCCATTTCAATTTCTTGGATGGCTACTTTTTACTTTCACTTGAGTAAAAATATGTTGAAGTAGCTACTCATTTTGTATTCTAGATCTGCGTTTTAGAATTTTTTGTTTTTATTTTTTACAAAAAATATATATTTTGACTGGAGCTTTCTATATTTATAAAACAAAAAAGTAATAATTCTTGGCCTGTTTGGTTCTACAACTAATAATTACTCTTTTTCTAACATGACTTTATTCTCCTTGCTGGTAACATCATATATAACCCCAGACACCCCCCATCCCTAGAAAATTGAGGAGGTATTTATTTAACATGCATGTCTGTGCAGAACATGTAACACACCTGTAGCATGGGAGCGTTTTTGCAGCAGCATGCAGACTAACCTGAGAAGTGCTGCAGAACTTTCTGCCTGGTGTTTATGCAGCAGCAGACATGAGGTTGGCCAAGGCGAACAAGTTTGGAAAAGAATTGCATAACCTGTTTACACATTACTGGGTCACAAGCAAGGAGCAGGGTGACATATGACCCTGCTGGCATCTGTTCATATCACAGAACTACACTTCCAGAGGAAACTTTCATCACACCCATGCAGGGATTTTACATATTTAGACTCTGAACTTCAACTAATCACTAAAGTTTTTTTTTTCCTGCAAACTTGGAAATTGTCGCCTTAAACTCTGAGGTTTGTAATTTTACGAGGTGGGAGAGTTTTTTTTAAATGGGAGAAAATGTAGCAATGCCAACTGCACAGACAGCTGAAGGACGACACTCCAAACATAGCTGTAGTGTCAAAAGTAGCCAGACGGGCCCGTTGGGAAGAAGTTCGGCTCAGCAGCTGTCACACCTGACCCCAGAGTCAATACAAGTGTCAGATAATTGATAAAATTGATAACACTTATCATATTGACACATTAATTTAAACAGCGATAAAAACAGCACACAGCCGCGTTCACCGGGGAGCGCCTTCGAAGCAGCGGGCTGGATTAGTTCGGCTGTCGGCAGCTGTGCGCTCGACACCAGGGCTCACTGGGGCTCACTGCCGGGGAGAAGATCTGCCAGGAGCGGGTTTAATCTGACTCGGAACCGACCCGTGTGGACGTGTTCTGTGTGAACGCGAACCGAGGCGGGACTTTACCTTCATTCGGGGGCGGCAGAAGACGGTTTATGAGGGGAATTAGCAGCGACATGCAGACGCGCCTCTGGAACCCGTGTAGACCCCTGAACGTCTCGGAAACAGAAGGAAGAACAACAAACGCGGCTTCCGCTCGTCCCCGTCACTCTCCCGGAGCGCGCCTACAGTGTTAAACAACATTTCTGTGTAACCAAATTTAATAAAACTTTTAGCGATTAGAAACAAAACATAAATTATTATTATTATTATTATTATTATTATTATTATTATTATTATTATTTTCTCTTTCTGTCTTTCTTTCTTTCTTTCTTTTTTTCTTTCTTTAATTATTTATTTATTTGTTTGTTTATTCATTCATTTATTTATTTTATGAATGACTAACCTTCAGAAAGAAAGAAATATCCATCAGGACCATGCTAAGTGTGGGCTTGTTAAAGAATCCAGATGTAATGTTGAATAACTCAACAACTAGATTTGAACTGTTTTAGAATTTAAGATTTTAAACTAGAGTTGATCAAAGGTACTGTAGTTTATAAAATATATCCATGTGGTTTGAAAACCTTTCATCTTCCAACCTACAAAAGGACAGTTGAAGAGACATGGAAACCTCACTTTCAGCAAAAGGTGGGTACTTTGTTTTTATTTTGTTAGTAATTAAATGTATTTATTTGTTAGTAAAAAAATATACATATTGAGAACAAGCCTCTTTAAAACCAAAAATTTATACTAGAAGTTAAAATTCCCTTTTGTTTCTATCTATATATATTTTATTGTCTTCTATTATGCAGATGGGTATTCATTGACGATGTAATAATGAAATCTTCCAAATATTTTTATATGCACTCAGTTTATTGTTAAAAGTATTCTAGATTCTGTCATCTAAGCTTAACATTTAATGTCAAACTTTTAAGTGCTTTGAATAAAGATTCAATACATAATTTATACTGAATGCAAGATCTTAAATGTGCGGAATAGAGCGTTTCTTTTAACGTAAATGATTTACCACTGAGTGTTTATTACAAACCACAGTAGATAAATTAAACTTCCATTGTCTGATTTTTAAAAGTTTAGATTCGACCCTTTTGTCAAGCGGAACCAAAAAACCGGCTTTTGTTTTCACACGGACCGCTAACAGCAGATATGGCAACCTGCACGCGGAATGTTTGGAAAGGTCAGTTTTTGTTATGTTTTCATTTCCTAATTTATTTAGAGCATGTTTCAGCTTTATAATGTTTTGTATTATTTTTTGGGTATATTATTTGGGTCGTGAGGACGACGAGTTCTTCAAACCGTCCGGTTCTATGTTCCGATCTAGAAATACATCCGAGATTGCACCTCTAATGCTAACAGATTGATGCCCGCAGCCTTAATTTGTTTTCCCGTTCACTTTTCTATGTAACCACGTCTTGTATGAGCTGCTAAGTAATTGAACATTGAGGTAATTAAAACTTTATCTGACGTCACAGTGCATAAATATAGTTTCTGTCATATTCACTCTTCATTGTTATCAGAGGCGGTCCTAGCCTGTTCGGTGCCCTGGGCGAAAAACATTCAGAGCCCCCTGTTGCTGCTTTTTCAACCAACCATGACATTTTACTTAAATTTCCAAATGCCACTCACACACAATGAAAATTTATTTTCTATCTAATTGATCTAATTCTCTATTTAAAAGGCTACAAGATTGTTGCTAAGTAAAATAGAGTGATTATAGAAAGCTAGCATAACTTTCCAAACTCATGTGAAGTTATACTGACATAGAAAACAGCTATAAACTAATACATAAAGAAACAGGCCTACATTTATTTCCAATTTGTGAAATACTAAGATTAGGGGGCGTAGCAACATCCCTTCCAATTAATGGATATTTAACACGATCCACAACACAACGTCATTGCCATTAGTAATTATAGTTCTAGTTGTTGAAGTTTAGTTTTATAAGACTTACATTCTTAAAAATAGTAATATTTTGTGTTGAAAACCAAATATGACATCTCAAGCAGCTAAACGAAAACAACAAAGCTAATGTAGCCTGTATCAGAAACTCCTACTGATTGTTATGATGATTTTATTTTGAGGCGTTCATTAATTTGTTTGAGCTGTTCTTTTTTCCAAGGGGAAGATATTCCACGACCATCTGGGCCCCATTTCAGAAAGCAGGATTTACGAAGTCTGAGTAGAAAGTAGATACTCTGAATTAACCTTCCTCAAAGTTTTCAGTTTCAGGAGAAATCGACTGGGTATCTCAAGGAATTGAATTGGATTAAATCAGGTTGAAACACGTTCTGCTTCACCTGTTTTATGTTTTTCTCTCTTGCTCAGTTTTGTCAGGATGTCAGAAGCAGCTGCTGAGCGCCGGCGGTCCCTCGTACTTAGCCGTATCTCAGGCGGCACCGAGGACTCTACCCATCCGTACCTACGCAGCTGTCAGGTGAGTTAGCATCTCTGCTGTGAAACCTCAGCTTCGTCCTGCCGTGTTTCAAATCCCTCCTACTTATGACGGCCTATCAGGGGAGATTTGGAATAAGAAAATGTGAAAAAAGCAGTAAATTTCCACCAACCAACCCAGACATCTCTTTAGAAAATTTAATAGAAAAACGTGGAAATTTCGAAGTCGGAAAAGTAAAACATTTTCAAGAAAAAACTTTGAAATTTTGGGATTATTCTAAGAAATTGAAAAAGATTGAAAAGTTGAAAACTTGTTGAGAAAAAATTTGAAGTGTCTCGATTAATCTCAGAATTCTTCTAGAGAAAAAGTGGAAATTTATGAATTCGAAAAGAGAAAAAAAATTACATTTGAAACTCAAAAATCTTAGTTTATTTCCAGAATTTGCATGAGATTAATATCAAAATTTCAGATTTTTTTTCTCAAAAATCTTTTATTTTGCAAGGTCAGAATTTTATTTAATTTTTTTAGAAAATTTCTGCAATTAAGCTCAAAATTTAGAATTTTTTTTCTTTGCAAATTTTCAGCTTTTCAAATAAATTTTTTAGATAAAAACTTGGAAATTTTTGAGGTTGAAGTCCAAAATTTCTGAGTTTTTGTTGGTAGAAATTTACTCTTCTTTTTTTTCTCCATTGTGTACAATCGTCCTAACCCTTTGTCGTACTTGTCGACCGGCAGGGCCCTGAAGAAGGACAAAAAGGAGGAGGCAAAGAAGGAAGAGAAGAAAGAGAAGCGAGTCATCGATGACAAAGATAGGCCCAAGCCTTTTGGGAAGACCGCCTGGGTTCCTGTGGATGACGTCTACGTTAAGCGGTTCTATGCCAGGGTCATCCACAGCGCCGCAGACAGCATCGACATGCTGAAGAGGTTCCAGAAGCTGGACTTCACGCCCGCCGATCAGCCCGTCTACATCGACCTGAAGCTGGACATGAAGCTGGAGAAAAAGGTAGCGCTGCCTCTAATCAGCGAGCGAACCTCGCACCAACAGCACAACGAGACGTTTTACAATATCTTAATTCATTCACTAAAAGAGGAAAAATCATGAGAGTAAATTTATATTACAAAAACACAGTGGTACAAATAAAGTTTTAATATTATATCAGAATAAAATCATAATATTATTAGAATGAACAATAAAAATGTTGCTGGATGATAAAATGTCCCAAAAATCATTACGATAAATGATAATATTGTCATTTTAAGACCATTTTCAAGTAAATTTTTGATCATGTTAAAATAATGAAAGTTTGCTTTCTCAGACATTAACAAACTTAAATTTTGAGAAGAACCTTTAACATTGAAACTAGAAAATATGGCTGAAGCATCACAATATAAACGTTTTATATCAGTTGATATTGATCATTCTTGATATTTTTTTTGCTTTAAATATCTGAAATACCGCTAAACTGGTGTGGTCACCTTTCCTGTTTGATCCACTCAACGCTGTTTTTTATTTTTAAGCAGTTATGAGACAAGGAGGGGGAACCTGAAACTGCTGCTGCGCCAGTTACTCAACAGGTTGTTGCTAGGCAACCAAAGAGCGGGAGAGTTAGCTGATTCCAGTAGAGGTTGAGCAGCTAAAGCCTTTCCTCTGTCCACATCCCCCAGAATGCAGTGCGGTTCTTATATATTGAATGTTGCATCAGACGTATTTCTATTAATATTGATCGCAGTAAAACACAACCACCTAAAACAATAAATTAAACAGGAATAAAAACCAAACACAACCAAAACCATAATTAAAATGGATTATACCGACACTCTTCACTGTAGCTTTGGACATTTTGGGTTTTCAAGCATCAGATGCAGGAATCAGTTCTGTGGAAATCCCTTCTGAATGTTTACTTAACACAGTCCTGTTGGACCTTCTGGTTCTGATGGAGAACCCTGACCCGATCTGATCAGTTAAAACCAAATTTAACCAGTCACTCTTGGCAGGTTTGTTAGGATTCATTTCCTCCTTTTGCACTTGACTGGCGCTGATCTGAGTCGTGCAGATGATGCATCAATCACTGCGGAGCGGAGCGGTGGCTGGAAACGCTCAGAAGTTTGTTTCCTCTGGTCCGCAGAGACCGGCTTCCTCTCATCCGTTTCCACAGATCTAATGTTCCCATACATAATGAATCACTCTGGAGACAGGAAGGTTTAATTTCTGCCACTTTCCCTCCATTTATCCTTTATCTTTTATCTTCCTGCAGCATGCTGACTGCTCAGAACAACTGAACAATGTTTTCTTCTTTTGTCTCTCCTCAGAAAAAAGTCGACCCCTTCGTCAGCACCGTGCATCTACCGCATCCCTTCAAGACAGAGATGAACAAAGTTTTGGTTTTCACTGAGGTAAAAACTTTAATCCTTGTTCTGACAGAGGAAGATTAGGGACACGGAAAAAAAAATCCTCAGAATGCTGACTTTTTCCAGAGAAATCTGATTTTCATCTCAGAATTTTTACTTTTTCAGAATTATGATTTTTTCTCAGAATTTTGAAGTCTGAATTCTGAGAAAAAAAAGTCTGGATAATTTTTTTTTAAGTGGCTCTAATTGTCTTCTGTCCCATCATTTTTTTTTTTTAAGGCATTCATAGTGATTAATAGTTTTCATTTTCTATAAGCACGATTCAGATGTGCATAAACAGCACATCTGAATTGTTGTTTGATTTGACTTGTAGCTGATATTTTATATTACGGGTTATAAAGTGCATGAACATGTTAACCACCTAAATAAATGAGCTCTGACTGATTTCCTAAAGTGCCTCTTCTGTCTGTTTCTGCAGGATTCTGGTCAGGCTACATTTGCTAAGGAGAACGGAGCAGCTTTTGTTGGAGGAGCAGAGCTCATTCAGCCGGTGGGTTGATTGGTTTTCTCTGCACAAATATGAGAAAACTCAGATTTTCTCAGTTTGTAGAGCATAACGGGATCCGATAAATCTCTTTTTCAGATTCTGGACGATGAGATTTCAGCCGACTTCTACGTTGCAGTTCCTGACATGCTGACGAAGATTGTACCTCTGAAAAACAAACTGAGGAAGAAGTTTCCAAAGAGCAAACGAGGTAAAATGAGGGTTCAGCTCCTTCGTTTGATGGTCTGTTGCATCAGAGCAATGCAACGAATGCAATCGTCTTTCAAAGGCTCCTCAAAATGGAGTCGTAGTTGTTTTGTTTTTTCAGCTTTGAAAGCTCAGAAAGTGTTTCATTTTCAAAAATGAACAGATTTTTATTCACTTTGGAGAAAATTCTTAGGCTCTAAAGTTGATCGAAAAAAATCTAATACTTCAAATGTTTAAAGACAAACAATTTATTCTTCTCCACATTAATCTAAGCTAATCTTTTTATCAATTTGTTTTGTATTTATTTTATCAATGTGTCAATTTCTATTGTTATTAAAGGTTAATGGGAACTCCAGAAAATAGATTTTTATATCTATAGTTGGGAAATTATTGTATTGTTTATCATTTATCATGTTGATAAATTTCTTATCGTAATAAGAATTTTAATTTATCATTCTTATGATAAATTCCAGTTACTGATGTTTAAAACTCTCCAAAACCTTTTGTTGAGATTGTTAATTTTACTATTTTCCTCACTGTTTGTTCAATGAGTGTATCAATAAATATTGATAAGTTTACTAAATTAACCCTTTTCAGCTGAGTCCTTGATTATAGAAGAGATTTTCTCCTCTTTTCTTTATTTGTTGACATAATTTGTGGTGAAAAATAAATTTGTTGCTCTGTCACCAACACAGTCGAAAACCAGATATTTACGTACACTGTAAAAAAAATCAGGCTAAACTTGTCCTGTAAAATCTGTTGGAAACGACTAAATCTTTTTCCTAAATGTTCAGGACGATGACGGACATTTACTCGGAAAAGCCGAAACGATGATTCAATCACTTTGTAAGCGTCTGATTGGTTAATTTGCAACATTTCAGTTAAAATTAGTCACATCTGGGGGTGTATTTTAAAGAAAAACCCTTAAACAAAATGCTTTATTCTGGTAAATTATGGGAGAAATTAAAATAAATCAGCCAAGACACCAGAAGGAGAATTAATTATTTAAACAAAATCTCAAAACAACAGCCAAGAAGTTGAACTCCATTGTGAGATATTTTGGAAGAAAACTCAAAACATTTGCCCCAAGTCTTACACTTTAAATGGTAATTTTCATAAATCCTTACAAATTATTATTCTAAACATTTAGCAAATAGAAAACAGGAAATGTTTAGTCTGATTTAATGTCTCAGAGAAAAAAAAAAGTTGTCTTTTTATAAATAAAAATGATAAATATCTGGTTCCAACTTGAGGTCCAGATGCTTGAATTATGATATTTTTTGTATTTCTCATGTCTACAGAAATGTTTCTGTTTAACTGCAGGTACCGTAACCAACAATATTTCCCAGGCGTTGCAGTTGTTTAAAACGGGTCATGAGTACCAGGTGGAGAGCGACTGCTTCGTTAGGACCCAGATAGCCACGGTACGTCCAACATGGCTGCCGCAGAAAGTGTTGCTATGGTTACTCACAACAAACTGCATGCTAGGCTGAACAAAACCAAGCAAACAGCAGAAATTAAGATTTTTCTCATTTTCTATGCCTACATAAGAATGGCATTTCCTAAAAAAAAAAGGTTTGTTTGAATCCTAGAAGATGAAGGCAGAACTTTAGGACCGAAAGTTAAAAATTAAGCTGAATTTTTTTCTTGTTTTTACCTTTGTGTAGCTTGACATGCCCAGTGAGCAAATCTTCGCCAACCTGCAGGCGATCCTGACCGACGTCTGTTCACGCCGACCGGCCAGCCTCGGTATGTTCTCCAAAACCAACAAATAAATCACACACTTCCTGTTTAGAAGAAGGTTTGTAAAGAGAAACGTATTGAATTTCAGCAGCTTTAACCTTCAGGTGGACTTTAAATTTCAGATTTACAGACAGGAACGTGACATTTAACAGCCAGCAAGACTTTGTGTTTTTCTGCAAACAATTTCAGTTAGGTGTAGGGCTTTCACAAAAAAATCTATTAATCACATAATAAATTAAAACTGGCTCAATAATTTCCATTTGCATTGTTTATCATTTTTCTCTTCTCTCTCTTTCTGCCAAAAACTGGATGATAAATATCTTCAGTCTGATGCTTTGGTTACAACTAATAAATTTTTTTAAAGAAAAAGTTTGTTTACAGCGACTTCATAATTAATTTCATTTGTTTTGGAGATTTGAAATGTCTTCCAGTTCCAGTGTTAAATGTTGATTAGAATGTAATGTTTATTGATCTTTGGGAATGTGTTCTTGCATTACTATGACATTGTCATTGTATTTCTTGACAAATGATCTCAAAACAACAATATTATCGTTTATCACAATAAAGTCTGGGACAATTGATTGTCCAGCAATTTGTTGTAACAGGTCTGGATATGTGGGAGTTTTTAGAGAGAGAATGAAATCTGCTAAAATTTAATCTGCATGCATTCTTATTCATAATTTATGGAAATAATGCAGTTTAAAGTCTGGGGTAAAGAGAAAACGTTAAATGTTAAAGTCTAAATATTTGTCATGTTTACTTCTCTTAAATAGTTTCCTTAAAGTCAGGCATATCCTTGTTTCCTGCGGTTTTTCTGATGTCTCTATTTACCCTCACTATTAAGGTTTGGAGTATAATCTTCAGTTGATGGCTCCTCATTACAGCGAGAGGCTGAAATGGTGTAAAAACTAATTTAATTAAAGATTATCTGTACAAATTGTCACCAACATTTGTGCCTCAGCAGAGCTTTCAGAAACACAGAGGAGGTTTTAATTAAACCCTCAAGTCTGCACATAAAAACCATCTAATGTTCAGGATTTTTACTTCTTTTTTTTTTAAAAAAGTAAATCAAGATATTTTTATATTTACTCATGCATCAAACCTGCTGTGTTAAGAAACATTAGAAAATAATTTTTTTGTACATTTATAAAATGTTACATCTTAAGCATTTATTCAATATTGGGAGACATTATTTCACACAACTTTCTTTGAAGCGACAGAATCCCTGCTTTACCCATTAAAGCTGAAATTACATTTTTTGGAAGGATAATCTCGTGCAATGGATCATCTACTTTTCAAAATGATCATTAAAAACGCAAAATATCAACAAGAACAAAGAAATTATACGACATTAAACAGTTTAAAAACAAGTTTCCAACCTCACTTCATTACCTCAAAAACAAAATAATTAATGAAGCCCACATTAACAAGATAATTTGGTAAATAACTTTGAATCTGTGGGCGTTTTAATCAGTCAAAAACATTAAGATTGTTTTAATATATCCATTTCAATTGAAAAATACTTTATTTATCCCAAAGGGGTATTAAATCTTTTCATATCTTATCATCCAAGTATCTTCAGTCAAGTTATTTTCCTAAACACGAGTTTTTTCTTCTATCAACTGGATCAAACGTCTTTTCATAACATGAAGGGCTACATTTTTATGATGAAAAATAATTTTAAAAAACCCCACAATTTTATTATCTTGCAGACAGATATTAATGAAATATAACTAACAGGAACCTTTTAGGTTGCTGAATAGAAAAATAGAAGATGAAAGTGAAACAGCGAGGTGTTCATTCATACAGAAGCACCATCTGTAGTTGCTGTGGAAGGAAAGTTATAACTTCGCTCCATGAAGTGTATTAACCCTCAAAATCAGGGGTCCCCAAACTTTTTCCTGCGAGGGCCACATAGCTGTTCCTTTCTGTGGTCGGGGGCCGGTCTTAGTTTTTGCAGTAAAAAAAAACAAAGAAATTCTTGGCGGCGGGGGGGGGGAGAGACGACGACACTTTTGGATAGATTTTTACCCAGAATGCAAATGGAAAAAACCGTGAGTGAAACGGTGACTGACGAGTATATATTCCATTGAGGGAAAGTAAGTTTCACATTTGCTCAAAAGCCCCCTGGTGGTTGAAGAAAAATCCAAATATAACCCGGAAAATACAATATATGAAAAAAAAACACTGAATGCTCTCTGGTATGAGCAGGCGAGCCGGATCGGGCATTGTTCAGGGGGCCGGACCAAATGACGTGGCGGGCCGGATCCGGCCCGCGGGCCGGAGTTTGGGGACCCCTGCTCAAAATCATACATTTGTTCCCCATCATGCTACACTTTTTTCTGTCATGGCTCCGATTTCCTGTCGTTACATCCTTCGTAGCACTTAAGTCTTTTTTTTAATAAACTGGCGCTGTCCTGGCTAAATAAAGCGCTATTACGGTGAAACTTAAGGAACTTGCCGAGACTTTATGTTAATTGAACAGCCTAAAGAGCTTGTTGAGTGTTTATATTTCAAAACAGAACCGCATAAGGTGCATTTTCCGTCCCTCATCGGTCTGTTTGGACCGTTACTCTTTGCTGTTATGCTACGACTCCACCATCTTGTATTTATGGCTCCGCTTAAAATGACCAGCGGCGCCCTCTGCTGGATGGCGGCCAAACTGCAACAATAACAGACTGTCTAAGGCTAAGCGGATATTATCAGTTAATCGATTGGAATTAATTTTAATCTTAAACTATTAATAGACAATCAATTGTAATTAATCAGGAGCATATTCGCCGATATTTGAGTTTGTGCCAGAGACAGGGTCGAGAGGACTCTTCCGGTTTAATTACCATTTCTTTCTTCTTCTGTATTTACTTTAATGTGCTTCAAGAGTCGTTTGGAGCCGAGCGAATGGCTTCTGAGTGGGCGGAAACAAGAGGGAGCTTCACGGATGAACACTTAAAACAAAGAAAACGAGCGTGGAAATGTAGCGTGTGGGTGATTAGAAGTAAAATAAAACCCAGGGGATTATGGGAATTATTTTTAAAAAGCACAGCACTGAAAATGCTGATGATCAGACAACAGGAAACACGATGCTGAGAGGACTGTTTGTCTGGAAGATAAAAGTAAAATCAAAGCAACAGAAAGCAGGAGGGAGATGGAAAAACTCAGTCAGATTCTTTATATTGTGTTAATGATTGTTTTATGATTTAGAGATGCTCTAATGTTCTGAATAACTTCCCACAGATTATTTTGTACATTAATGTCACGTTAGAGTCCAGACCTGAAGTTTAATTTCATTCGGCTGTGGTTGGGCGCTGAGAGTTTTATTTTTACTTTTTTTTATATTGTTCATTTGTACAAGTTAATGAAATATTTCAAAATACTTGCATTTCAAGTAGGAGTTTTCAAGATTTCAAGCTGCACAGTTTTGTAATAAAATTCAACCTAACATTTGATTAAAAGTCTAAATCAGAAAAACTTTATTTACATTTGAAACTTAATATTTTCATACACCTAATAAAAAGACAGACACATTTTTTCTCACTGTCCGAAGATAAATCAGAATAAACTCTTCTTGTTTTTGGTTAGTTAGACTGACCAAAATTATTTCTATTTGTTAAATGATGAACATTTTCTTTTTCAGACTTATATTTTTGTTTAAATGCTTTCTTAAAAAGCATTTAATTTTGAGGAGGAAAGTCATTTAACATTATTTTTTTATTGTTACAGTGAAATTAATATTTATTATTCCTGATGTCTCAATGAGTTATTGATCTGTGTAATGGAAATAAAAGTTAGCTTAAACTTGAAATGAGGCAAAACTAACTTGCAAGTAACTTTTCTGGAAGAATTATGAGCTTGTTTTGTTAATATTTCCTTAAAATTGTAAAATTGATGAAAAAGTACTCGCCTTATTAGTAAAATAATCTTCCAGTGGAACAAGTACTTTCCCCCCAATAATAAGGAATTATTTACGTAAAACAAGCTTCTAATTCTCGCAAAAAAGTTGCTTATAAGTTAGTTTTGTCTTATTTAAAGTTATTTGCTCTAGAACCAAAAATACTTGGTAAGATTTTGTGTTTTTGCAGTGTAGCAGCTACACCTTGCTAGTGTGAAAGCTTTGGCTGATTTATTTTTCTTTTCTCTGGTCAGGACCGTTTGTTGAGCGGGCCATCATGTCCAGTCAGACCAGCGAAGCCATCTGGTTCCGGACCGAAAGTGTTTTACCTGAAGCAGCTCAGACGGATGAGAAATGACTTCCCTATCAGATTATAAATAATGACCGTACTGAATAAAGATTTTGTTTTTCTGGTTTCCCTCAGAGTTTTTTTTGTTGTTGTTTTAAGGAAATCCCAGTAGATTAAAGTCAGAACCAAAGTTTGATTTTTAAACAAAAAGGACAAACAGGATGAAACTATTCGGTTCTTTCTTTTTATTGTTACATTTTCCTGATATGCATCATTAATCAAAACTTTCTACAGTTCTCCAGTTAAATTCACAAACTTTAAGGAGTTTATTTTGACATTTTCTAATATCTGATTTCTGCATGTCTCATTTGAAACTCAATTTGAAATCTTAACAAATTAATGGAGCATTTTTCATGTTTTAAATTTAATTTATTGTTGTTGTATGGAAAACAATTTATCCACTATTTCAAACATTTTATGTTTTTTAATGATTTTTTTCTCCAGCATCTTGAAAATGTTTGATATAAATGACCATTAAGGACTTTACATGGGATACAAGTCACCCTGCTGTAAAAACACAAAATGTTTTTCCTGATCCACATATAATTCTCACATATTAAAGCTCTAAAATATTTAATTTTTTTTTATTAAATCTACAGTGCAAAGCTTAAAAATAATGACAGTCTTGTGGACTCTTATTTTCTTTAGGGTATCTTTCAAACTGCTTTAAATTACAAAATGTTCGGTGATTGTCTTAGATTGTTATAATTTTATGACAAGTCTACACTAAAAAGAAGAAGCAGGTTATTCACCTTTAAAAAAATTGAGGTTATGTGTTTCAAGTAACCGAATTAAGTTTGTGTTTAAATTTTGTTAAACATAAAAAACAAAAGTTTGGGTGTAATACCGCCTGATGCACACCAGGGGGCAGTGTTTACACGATGTGCTGCTGAGTTTCTGCAGCCTGTTGAATCTTCAACATTTCCTTTCGGGAAACGTGAAAACTAAAGAGCAGTTCAGATGTTTTATGTGATCTGGATCATTCGGGCCAGTTTTAGTAGAACAGTCCGGTTTTAGGGTCAAAAACCCTAGCATAAATAGTTATATCTCAGCTTCTTCAGGATTTTCTCCCATCTGAACACATTGATAAAAAGACTCGCTGCTCATCTTTGAGAAAGTAAGACATGGACATTCATGCTGCTATCTCTCCAAACAGCACAGCCGGGTACAAACATCCGTCCTCAGGTTGACATTTACTGTAAGATAGAGATAAGTCTGAAGTTTTTATTGTTCCCTGGGGGGAATCAGGCAGCAGCTAATTGTGCCAGTGAAAGCTGAGAAAATGGTAAAAGTGATGATAAGAACTTTAATGAGTTAATGTCTAATGGCCCCACCGTCTCCCCAAACTAGGGCTTTTAAAATGTTTCCATATTTTTTACACTTCAGTCACAGAAAGTGTTAAACCCAACAATCCTGTTTGTATTCTGTAAATCTTGAACTTTCAGGAAACATGAAAGCTAAAGAGCAGTTCAGATCATTCAGGCCCAGTTTTAGAACCATCTGGTTCTACTAAAACTGGATTTTTTTTTAGGGTAGAACCGCCTGGTTCTACTAAAACTGGATTTATTTTAGGGTAGAACCGTCTGGTTCTACTAAAACTGAAAGGAAATTGTCAGGCATGCATTGTGGTGAACCTGACACATTTCACCTTTAACAAAATGAAAAAAAAGAAAAACAATCCCAAACAAAACTTTGTCTAATTCAGTTTGTTTCATTTTTCTGCAGAAACAATTTTTTAGTATTGTCAATCCAAAAATTTATTGTAAATTTTGAAATTTGATTTTGAAAAGTAAAAACAAGATTTGACAAAAACTCATAACTTTGCGATTAATCTAAGAAATTTTCTTGAAAAAAAAAACAAGGAAACTTTTAAGTTTTAAAAGTTTTAAGATTTAAAAGTTAAATATATGCTACAAAAAATAAGAAATTTTGAGATCATTCAGAAAATTTCTAGAAAAACCAGGAAATTTCTGAGATGCAGTAATCAGAAATTTGTGGGAAAAAACTCAAAATTTTGGGATTAATGTCAGAAATTTTCTGGAAAAAGATATGGAAATTTCTGAGTTCCAAAAGTTTGAAATTTGGAGGACCCGCCCCCCCCTCTCCCTCTTTCCAGAAATTCTGGAGTTAATGGCAGATATTTAACACGAGAAAGTTGAAGTTAAAGTTCAACTTTAATTACTAAAAGGCTAAAATTTTTAGATAAACTTTTTAACATTACCAGAAAAAATGTGGAACATTTCTGAGTTTCAAAAACTGTAAATTTATGAGGAAAAAAACTGCAATATTTAACGCAATGTCAGAAATTTCACAGAGAAAAACCCAGGTTTCAAAACTTTGAAATTTGGAATAAAAAAATATGGAATTAATCTTAAAAAAACCAAAAACTCTGCAGTTCCAATGGTCAAAAATTTACCAGAAAAAGAGTTAGAATTTTTTTTTCAGCTTTCTGAGATTAAACTCAAAATTTAAAAAACCTTTCTGGCAATTTTTTTAATTTTTCAAGCTCAGAGATGTTATTGTGATTTTTCCCCAGACAATCTAAAATTTATGAATTTCATTTATTTATTTTTGCCGGAAATTTACTCTTCTCTTTTCCATCTACAAATTCCCTATTACACCACCGGAAACTCCTGAGAAAAAAATTAAGATGTTTGGTTTTCTTTTTCTTTTGTTTTTAACCTCCTGTTGGTTTCTAAATCTCTTTGTACTTGTGGTGTAAAATCTCACGCCATCCCTGACCTTTCCAAGTGAGTACAATCTCCGGAGACATCAGAACAAGTCCTGATTCCGAGCTGTGGGTTATAATTAGCCCGTGTGTGCAGACGGCAGCAGCATTAGCAGCAGAAAAAAGGTGAAACTGCTTCTGATCTGCGCTTTTGGCAGAGGACAAAAGGGCTGAGTGAGATCAGGTTTCTGCCATGTGACACTGAGGAATCTCAGACCTGCAGTCCTGATTAAACATTACACTCTGCAGGTAAGCTAGCAGGTTGATGCACACACACACACCAGCTTCATACATACAGACCTAATGAGGAAAAGCTATGATTTACTGGAACTACATCATGCGTTTATGGACGTAGATAAAATATACTGAAATTAGAGATATAATACCCTTCGTTTTGGTGTTTATGAAAAAATTTATTAGCTTTTCGAGCTGATGTGCAGTTTACGTCAGCTGCCGGCAAATTATGGCACTCCATGGCGGTCCGCAAAATTGATCGATTAACTAGATAGAAAAAATATTGGCATTCTAAATATTGGCATTCTGCAGTTTTATTTAACCACTTAAGCTGATTTTATTCGAAATGTAGCAAAGGATGCATCTGCAGATAAAAAAAAATACTTCTAACATCAACATTTGAAAAGCTCAACCATCTGCTTCCTGTTTCATCACACCTGCTGTAAATTGACGCCTTATTTTTGGCTTCTCAATCTGTTAAAGAGATCGTGCAGTCATCTGAATCAGGTATGTTCTGCATCATACATGATAAGGAAATAATAACGTGAAGATCCATATTAATCCCACGTTGCATAGAAAAAGGCTAATTATGGATTTAAGAGTTTTACGACATAAAAACATCCAAAACCACCCAGTGAGGTTTCTGACATGCATTGCTTATTAAAGTAATGATACTTTCTGAACTTTTAAGCATTTAAAAAGTTTCAAACTGAAATTTTAAAGGATTTTATCTGAATTTTATGTCATAGACAAAAGTTTATGAATGGATGGAAGGTGACATGTTTTTCAAAAATATTTAGGGTTTTTCCTCGTAATTTAAATCAAATGCAGCTGCTTTATTTCTGTCCTCTGAGGTTTATTACACTGTAAAATCACAAAATCTTATCAAGTTGGTCTAGTTTGTCGTGCAAATATCATAGTGCGCTTGAAATAAAACAAAACTAACTTGTAACTTTTCAGCAAGACATGAGCTTGTGTTAAGTAAACGCTCCCTAATATTGATGAAAAATCAATATTGATTATTTCACTTATGACAATACATGTTTCCCATATTACAAGTGAAATAGTCTGCCAGTGGAAATACTTTTTACTTTTATACTAATAGGGAATGAAGTCAGAGAATAAAGTTTTAATATTAGTTTTGCCCTGCATGTTGACTTTATGCTGGAAGCCAGGGGTGTCCAAAGTGGGGCCTGGGCGCCATTTGTGGCCCTTGAAAGGATTTTATTTGGCCCCAAGTCAAGAATGGTAAAAATTTAGCCAACAAAACAGAAAACAATAGATGACCCAAAAAGCTTGGAAATTGTTTGTTTTTCTTTTAATAAGGCAACATGATACACAGATTTCATTTAAAAATGTTTATTGTTTAGCAGAAAATCACAGTAAATAAATTTTTGCATTTTTAATTTAATGACATTTATAGTCTGCCAGAGGCTAAAAGTTTGGACTGTAAGTTTTATATTAATAATAAAATGAAAAGGCGCAGAAAGACCCTGCAGGGAGGAGAAATGATTCATTATTTCTATAAACCTCAGATTTTGCAGCAGTAAATGAGATTACAGGACGAATCCCTCAGATGATCCAAATTCCTCTCTCGCTTGTGGTTTAATCCCAATCCCGCAGAAACAGAGTCCCCATCATGTGAGATTATGATCGGTGGAGGAGGGAGGGCGGGATTGTGGAGGCAGCAGCGGACAGAGGTGGGACGTCCTCCCGGGGAGAGGAGGGAGAAGAAGTGGCTGCAAACTCCGACCGCCTCTCTCAGTCATGCGCCTCGGCTTTTAAAGGACTCCCGGCTACTGCTGGTTCTGGTTCTGCTGGGCAGCGGGGCTTTATTTCAAAAAGTGAAGAAGAGTTGGACCGAGCAGTGAGGAAGAGGAGGATACTTTTCCAGGTTACCGGATCTTGCTGCATTCCAACCCCGGAGCGCAGCGCTCAGGACTCGGACCCGGCGCGCTCCGTCTCTCCGGATTTCTTTCATTCTTATTTTTTGTTTTTTATATATATTCATACATTCGCTTCTTCTGGCTCTGTTGGATCTCTGCAGCGATGACGCACAAAGGGAATCGCTTTTATTTCTAACTAGAAACGCTTAAAAGCACAGAGGGGGGTTTCTCCTCCGGAGTGGATCTGGATTTCTCGCCCGCTGCAGGTCCGACCATGAGCGCCGGATGGTGGGTGTTTGTTGGCGCTCTGGTGGGGGTCCTCACCGTCCCAAAAGCGGCACACGGTTGGTGTATTATTTTTGGTCTCTGTTTTTTTTTAAATCCAGTTGTCCGGTTTGTTATGTAGGTCAGGAGGAGTTGTGGAGGGCAATCATGCGCTTCTGCAGCAGAGCTGAGGAGCCGGAATTTGATCTGATTGTGGGTGATTTTTCTCCACACTTCTCTCTGGTGGAGAGGGGAAAGTTGTGATCAGAATGATAACTTTACATTTCACACAGACGTGGGCAGAGTACCCAAAAAATGTACTCAAGTAAGAGTAGAACTACTACAAAATCTTTTTAATTAAGTAAAAGTAAAAAGTATTTGGTAAAAAGTCTACTAAAGTACTAACTGATCAAATGATCAATCATTTAATATTTAAAAATTACATCTTCAGATGGACCAAATTCTAAAGTTAAGCATACATTTTTGTATTTTAAGGATGAAATAAGTAACAAGAAATACAATCAGGCACAATATTTTTTTCCAAATCAGTTTCTTTCAATAAAAAACTTATGAAACTTTACCAGAAGCTGCAGGTGTGAGTCTGTGTCTGGTGAATTTTTGGTTGAAACATGTTTGTTACTCATTCAGTGACATTACCCACAGTGGGTAGAAAGTCCAGAAATGGATGATGGATAGCACTGAGTCATTAGCTTTTCAGCAATCCCTCCACCTGAACAGACATAAAGCAGCTATGGATGTTTTTAGATTATGTTGATTTAGCAACCTGTCAGCAATCTCTCTACATGAACAAGTATTTGGAAAATATACATGTGCTTAGATTGTTGATTTATTAACTTTTCAGCAATTCTTCTGCATGAACGAGCATAGCTGTGGATGTTTTTAGACTATATTGATTCAGTAGCTTTTCAGCAATCCCTCCACTTGAATAAGCAAATGGCAACTGTGGGTGTGTGTAAATGTTTGATTTAGTCACTTTTCAGCCGCCGTTCCATGTTAACAACCCTGAAGCAACTGTGGATGGAGATTATGTCTAGTAACTTTTCAGCAATCCCTCCACCTGAACAAACATGTGACAACCATAGATGTGCATAGATTGTTAATTTAGTAACTTTTCAGTAATCTCTCCACCTGAACAAGCATGTGGTAACTGTGCATTAGATTATTTTGATTTAATAATTTGTTCAGTAATCTCTCCACTTGAGAAAGAAGAAGCAGTGGGCGTGTGTGGATAATGTTGTTTTAGTAACTTTTTAGCAATCCCTCCACATGAACAAGCATCAGGTAACAGTGGATGTAGATTATATTAACTGAATTATTCAGCAATCCCCTCACCTTAACAAGTATGTGGCAACCATGGATTTTTGTAGATTATGCTGATTTGGTAACTTTTCAGCAATCTCTGCACTCAATCAAGCCTGTGGCAACCGTGGATGTGCATAAGTTATGTTGATGTAGTAACTTTCCAGCAATCCCTCCACCTGAGCAAGCACAAGGCAACTGTGGATATGAATAGTTTGTTGATTTAGTAACGTTTCAGCAATCCCATTTCCTGAAAACATGAGGCAGCTGTGAATGTATTTTTCATTTAGTAACTTTTCAGCAATTCCCCCACCTGAACAAGCATGAGGGGACTGTGGATTTTTGTAGATTGTCGATTTAGTAACTTTTCCAGCAATCCCTCCTCTACAACATGCATATGGAAACTGTGGATGTGCGTAGATTATTGTGCTTTAGTAACTTTTCAGCAATCCCCCCACCTGAACAACAAAATGCCAGGAGAAACGCAGCTAGACAGATACATTTTTCAGAGTATCTCAGTCTTTATTAGAACCTGCCTGAGTGGTTGAAAGACAGGCTGTGTGTTTCTACAAAGACACTCAGTTAATGAGAAGACTTCGCGTCTCTTGATCTGCAAATCTGCAAAACTTCAAAGTCAGTTTGAGAATTCAAAGAGAGCCCCGACTAAATTAGGATCAACCGCATGTTTTTATTGTTAACTGTTTACGCTTCACATTCATCAGTCTGTGGCAGAATCTGACCGGAGAAACAGCTTGTTGTGTGAGTTGTGCATTTTTATCCCTCTAAATAGCCAAACGCTTTGAAACTTATCCCTCGTTGCCTCTTAAATATTTATCAGGCTGCATCAAATCAGAAAAAAAAAAAACCCAGCCTGTGCTCAATTACAGTATCCGCTTCCCATGTCTCAGAGCGCGTCGTAGACAGAATCATAAGCAGAACCAGGAAGCAGTTCCTCACCAGAACTGTTCTCTTCCCCTCCCTGAACCTTTTTGAGTCCTGATCTCCTCCAGGAGAGAAAAGATCCACGTTGAAAACTTTATTTTTTACTCCCTGAATCTTTAATCGCCTCATCTCGGCGTGCGTCCAATCTGCCCAGCAGCTGCTGCTTCAGTAGCATTCAAACTTTGATGCTCCTCTGAAAATAAAACACATCAGCTATAAATGTTGGAGCGATATTGACGGCTGCAGGAGGTAACAAGAGGAGGGTGGGCAAAAGGTTGAAGTCAAGGATTGTGCTTTTATATTTATTTATTTTTTTAGCTCAGGTTCCTTTGTAGTCTCCAATACGGTGGTGAATTAGCGCCAATGTAGATAG